CGGGAGCAGCAACAGCAACAGGGCCGCGCGAAAGCGGGCGGCATGCCGACCTCGTCCGGGGTCAGCGCGGCGCATGCATTCGTCCTCGCCGCGCCCATCGGGAGTTTTTGCCGCTCCCGCCCCTGCGCGGCCCGCGCACCTGTCACTGCGCCAACGCTGCGCACATTCGCTTCAACAAATTGCAAGACTTCACGGATTGAGGGCGGGTGGTTTTCGAGATGTGGTTCTCGCCTGAGCGCCGCGCACATTCGTTTTGAAAACGTTGCAGAAGTTTCACGGATTCAGGGCGGGTGGTTTTCAAATTGTGGCTCTCATCTCAGCGATTCGCACTTTTGCTTAAAGCAGTTGTTGATTCGCGGTGCTGAAGTCACAGGAACAGCGTTCTGGCACAATTCGGGATCGCCAAGAAGTAACCGACAGGTTAACTTGTGGCGCCGAAGTCCTGAGAATGGTGTTTTGGCGCGTTTCGGGATATTCACACGGTTGTCCCCCAACGGGGCAATTTTCTCAGTGGAAAGGACCATTTGTAGGAGCCTATGAAGGGGGAGCTTGGAGGGAGGGTGTATTTCCACAACGTTGACAAATCGTGGCTTTAGACTGGTCCGCCTCCTCCTCGTCCTCCTCCTCCTCCTCATTTCTCCTCTTCCTTCTCCTCTTCCTCCTCTTCCTCCTCATCCTCCCCTCCTCCAACTCCTCCTTCTCCTCCTCCATCTCCTTCTCCTCCTCCTGCTCCTTTTCCTCCTCCTCCTCCTCCTCTATTCCTTTCCCTTGCAGAGATTTCCGCCTTGTCGCCCCCCGAGGCCTGTCGAAAGGGCGGGCTGGGCGTTTCGTCCGAGAGTGCCTCATGATTAATAATCCTGGAGTTCAGAAAGTGGCAACCGTTCCGCAGATGGAGGGCGGGCCGCTTCCAACATGTGGCTCTCGCCTAAGCGCCGCGCGCACTCTTGCAAAACATTTGCAAGAATTTCACGGGTTGAGGGCGGTTGGTTTTCAAAAGGTGGTTGCCGCTTTGTCGCCGCGCACACTCGTTTTCGATAATTACAGGGGTTTCACGGATTCAGGGCGGGTGGTTTTCAACATGTAGCTCTCGCCTGAGCGCCGCGCACATTCGTTTGATTGCAGGCGGCTCCTTTTCAAAATGTGGCTCATATGCAAGAGCTTCACGGATTGAGGGCGGATGGCTTTCAACATGTCGTTTTCGCCTTAGTGCCGCACACATTAGTTCAAACAGCTTGCAAGAGCTTCAAATATTGAGGGCGATTAGTTTTCAAAATGTGGCTCTCGCTTTAGCGCCTCGCACGTTCGCGTTAAACATGCAAGAGTTTCACATATTGGAGGCGGGTGGTTTACAACATGTGGTTTTCGTTTTAGCGCCGTGCGCATTCGTTCAAACAAAATGTGAAACTTTCACGGATTGAGGGCGGGTGGTCTTCAGAATGTGGTTCTCGCTTGGGCGTCGCGCGCATTCGTTTTGACCTTTTTGTAAGAGCTTCACGGATTGAGGGTGGATAGTGTTCAACATGTGGCTCTCGCCCCAGAGCCGCGCACATTCGTATTGAGACGTTGTAAGAATTTCGCGGATTGAGGGCGGGTGGTTTTCAACATATGTATCTCGCCTTAGCGCCGCGCGCATTCGTTTCAATAATTTGCAAGACTTCACAGATGCAGGGCGGGTGGTTTTGAAAATGTGGTTCTCGTGTTAGCGCCGCGCGCCTTCGTATAAAAAATGCAAGAGTTTCATGGATTGAGGGCGATTCCTTTTCACAATGTGGCTCTCGCCAAAGCGCCGCAAGAATTCGTGTTAAGACGCTAACAAAAAGTGTCACAGATGCTCATGGCTAACGTGCCAGAAATGGTGTTTTGGAAAGACTCAGGACTGTCGGGGCGCGACTCTTACGTTGATTCGCGTGCTGAAGTTCTAGGAATGGTGTTCTGGCACGATTCAGGACCACCAAGACGTAACAGTCAGGTTAACTTGTGGCGTTGAAGTCTTGGGAATCGTGCTTTGGCACGCTTCAGGATTTTCGCACGGTTTCCCCCTCCCACGGGGCAATGTCCTCAGTGGAAATGGCCCCTTGTAGGGGCCTATGAATGGGGTGCTTGGAGGGAGTGTGTAGTCCGACATCGTTGATGGGCCTTGGGTTTGCACTGGTGCTCCTCCACCTCCTCGTCCTCCTCGTCCTCCTCGTCCTCGTCCTCCTCCTCGTCCTCCTCCTCCTCCAACTCCTCCTTCTCCTCCTCCTTCTCCTCCTCCTCCTCCTCCTCCTCCTCCTCCTCCTCCTCCTCCTCTCCCTCCTCCTCCGTCTCCTCCGTCTCCTCCTCCTCCTCCTCCTCCTCCTCCTCCTCCTCCTCCTCTTTTCCCGAATCCAGGTACTGGGGCCCCGAGCCGGCTCACGCGGTCCGGATCCCCGAGGAGCTGCGCGAGGGGCTGAACTGGTCCCCGAACGCCGGCGTCATGCGGCTGGACCCCCTGCCGACGCTCGAGGACACCAGGGTAGGGAGTGAGGAAGTAGGGAAGGAGGGGGGAGAAGGCGAAGGATGAGGAGGAACAAGACGAGG